TTCTTTCTGAATATCCGGCGTTGTATTGCACCATCATCTTGTCTGTGTAAAAAGACGTCTAAGAAAGCGAATTCGTTGTTCGCCTCCATTTCCGTAGTAAATTTTATGGCCGTGTGAGCCGTGTTACACGTTTTAAGTAAAACATCGATATCAGTAGTGTTATTTGTCAGACAAAATATATCATCAACGTATCGACCATAGAACTCAAGTGCATTGATCGTGTCTTTGAGAATTCTTTCCTCGACCTTGCCCATGAAGACATTTGCGAAAAAAGGACCAAGTGGTGACCCGATCGCTACTCCGTCTAGTTAAGAACTAAAATAACTATGACTGACCATTTCTGTCCTTGCATTGTACTGGCCCGCTGATGAATTGCCGAAAACATATGTTCGCCAACATGAATTCTCAATATTATAAAAATTTGGAGGTAGATAGTTACCTGGCGCCATGCTGAAAGCATCCAATAGACCAGATTCGAAGCAAGTGGAGAGGATGTCGCAAAGCGAATGAAAATGGCGGACGAAGAGAGGACGCTGGCGAAAACACGATGTCCGGTGAGGCCAGCTTCTGGAGTCAGTAACAAGAGCGGCAAGTGCAGAAGGCGACACTTTTCACTGTCCCCTGCAGCACCGGATGCCGGATGATCGCCCGAATTTTCGTTCACTATCGCCAGGACGGTGGGGTCTCCTGAGCCGCTGCAGTACTCGCTGAAGACTTTTAGGTTAGGTCCACCCACTTCACACGCCTCCTTTAGGGGAACCAATTAGAATTCAGTCAACAGTAATTATTGGCGACAGAAAGTGGGACTACTGAAAACGTGAAAGTAGCTGTTTGTTATAAGTCAAAGACAAAAGAGACGCCTATAGACAACCTGACCAATTATTAATTTAGTCTAAGTAATATATCTCGTGAGAATCGATAAAAGATGAAACAACAAAAGCGGTATGAAATAGTTTACCTCTAGAACGTCCATTGCCTCTTCTGCAACAGGCTTACTACTGTCGAATAGAGAGCGAAGAAGAAAGGAAATG